CATAGGAGCGAATCCCCCTGGGATCTGGGTTTGAGTTCTCCCCCATTCCCCCTGAGATTGGGTCCCCTGTTTCCCTCTCCCACGGGAGCAAGTCCCCCGTGGGAATGAGTCCCTCTAGAATCTAGGATTAAGACCCGTGTTCTCCCCCACTCCCCCCTGGAGCGCATCCCCGTCCTGCCCCCACTTCCCGTGGGAGCAAGTCCCTCCCCGTTCTACCTGCTGTCTCGGTGTTGATTTCCCTTGCGTTCCTGGTTTGGATTTATCACTGATCAGCTTGATCCCCTGGCCTTTGAGGGGTGGGGTGAGATGTTCCTGCACGAAGGATCACGCTCCCAGGATAAGGGACATTTGGGGCTGGGTTGAAATCCTCGACCCCAGACGGTCAGTGACCGAATGTGTCAGTGATGGGGAGAGATTGATTACTAGATGTTGAAGAGAGTGACGTATCGAGGGATATTTGAAAACTGCAGAGACGTGGCGATGAGATTAGAGATCAGCTGACGCAGCAGGCTTTTTAAAATGCACTTAGGGTTATGGGTGTCGCTGGCTGGACCAGCATTTATTACCCCCACTTTCAGTTATCCCTTGAGAAGGTGGTGGTGAGCTGTCGTCTTGAACTGCTGCAGTGCAGTTAGGGAGGGAGTTCCAGGATTTTGACCCAGCGACACTGAAGGATGGCCAATATATTTCCAAGCCGGGATGGTGAATGGCTCGGAGGGGCTCTTGCGCAGGAGATGGCGTTCCCATGTATCTGCTGCCATTGTGCTTACTAGATGGGAATGGTCAAGGATTTGGAAGGTGCTATCTGAGTTGGCTTGATTTTCTGCAGTGGATCTTTCTGCTGCTGAGCGTCGGTGGTGGAGGGAGTGGATGTTTGTGGATGTGGTGCCAATCAAGTGGGCTGCTTTGTCCTGCTTAACCATACAGCGCGGAAACAGACCCTTCCGTCCAACTCTTCTGAGCCACCCATCCCGGTTGGACCAAGTCCTGTTTGCCAGCATTTGACCTTTATCCCTCTTAAACCTCTTCTATTCATACGCCCATCCGGGTGCCTTCTAAATGTTGCAATTGTACCGGCCTCCACCACTTCCTGTGGCATACATGCACCCCATGACGATGTTACCCCTTGGGTCCTTTTTATATCTTACCCCTCTCACCTTAAACCTATGCCCCTCTAGTTTTGGACTCCCCTTGCCTCGGGAAAAGACCTTGGCTATTCACCCTATCCATGCCCCTCATGATTTTATAAACCTCTAAGTTCAGTTGGAGCTGCACTCATCAAATCAAACCTTATATAGGGGAGGTAATGGCCTAGTGGTATTATCGCTGGACTGTTAATTCAGAGACCTGGATAACATTCTGGGGGCCTGGGGTTCGAATCCCGCCAGGGCAGATGGTGGAATTTGAATTCAATAAAATATCTGGAATTAAGAATCTAATGATGACCATGAATCCATTGCCGATTGTCAGGAAAATCCCATCTGGTTCACTAATACCCTTTAGGGAAGGAAAATGCCATCCTTACCTGGTCTGGCCTATATGTGACTCCAGACCCACAGCAATGTGGTTGACTCAGAACTGCCCTCAGGCAATTAGGGATGGACAATAAATGTTTCTTGGCCAGCGACGTCCTCCTCCTGTTAACAAATAAAGAAAAAAAATTCCCTATCTTCATAATTTTCAACCTTCTCCCCCCCCCAACCCCCCTTTTAAGTGGAAACATCTTATTTATACCCACCCAATTGAACCTTTTTTTAGATTATTAAAGACCGCAATGAGATCACTCCCTCAGCTCAGTAAAGGCAAAATACTGCAGGTGCTGGAAATCTGAAACAGAGATAGAGACAGCTGGAGAAGCTCAGCCAGTCTGTGGGAGAGAGAAACAGATTAATGTTTCAGGTCCAGTGACCATTCTGAACAAGAGTCTTATTGAACATGAAACGTTGACTCTGTTTGACTCTCGCGCTCTCTTTCTCTGTCTCGCGCGCTGTCTCTCTCTCTCACCACCCCCCCCCCCCCCCCCCCTCAAACAGATGCAGTCAGACCTGCTGAGTATCTCCAGCCTTCTGCGTGCTTGTTTCGCCCTCTCCCAGCCTTCCTGTTTGCCCTGGCCGGCTTGTTCACAGATGTTTGTAACCTCCGAGGCTGTGATCGCATTGGAGCGGGGCGCAGAGGAGATTCAGCAGGTTGTGGGATGGAGTGGTTATCTATGACGAGAGAGTGGAGAGGGTCGGAGAAGGCTGACTGAGATGGATGAGAGTGTGCGGGGCATGGATGTGTATAGGAAGCAGCCATGCTCTTTCGTTGAAGGGTCAGTAACATAGGGACAGGAGCAGGCCATTCAGTCCCGTTCTCCCATTCAGTGAGATCATAGCTGATCTGTGGCCTGACTCCTTGGAGCTGCCTTTGGCCCCGATCCATCAATACCTTTGCGAAAGGGAAATCTATCAACAGGAGAGGGCCGTAAATTTCAGGCTAAGGGCAGGAGGTTTAGAGGGGACCTGAGGAAACCTTCCCTCGCCCAGAGGGAACCCGAAAACCTTTCAAACAGTATGTGGGTAAGCACTCTCTGTGTGGAATTGTTTGTACGTTCTCCCCGTGTCTGCGTGGGTTTCCTCCGGGTGCTCCGGTTCCCTCCCACAGTCTAAAGATGTGCAGGTTAGGGTGGATTGGCCATGCTAAATTGTCCCGTAGTGCCCAGCGATGTGCGGGTTAGGGTGGATTGGCCGTGCTAAATTGTCCCTTAGTGCCCAGGGATGTGCGGGTTAGGGTGGATTGGCCGTGCTAAATT